GGCCGTCAGGAGTTTCTAACTTTTCGTGTATGTACAGTCATCCCTCTGTGTCCCTTATAAAAATGCCACAGCATTTGCATGTACCCTATGCACCTGACCCCATGTACTTTGTGATAGATTATTTATAATACCTAATAGAACATACACGCGGTGTATGTAGTTTTTGTATTGTGTGTTTAGGTGAGAAAAACAGGAAACAGTCTGTAAATGTTCCGTGCAGATGTGACTTATTTTTCCTAACATTTTCATCTGTAGTTGAACCCCCAGTTGTGACACCCAGAATACAAAGGGGTGAGTATTATTTGCACTTAATTTTTGCCTCTCTCCTTACACCAGAATGAAAGTCCTGTGAGAACCGGAATATAATTTTCATGACTGTCTGTTTCTGGAGCATCTAGAACACATAAGACACAAAATCAATACATATTTGTGGAATAAGTAGATGAATGAAAGATCTTGCTCACGGTCTTATTTTTTTCCCATTAGACACAAATAAGAAAAATACAGTTAAAAAGAAGTCATTAAACTACACAGGTTTTGAAAAGGGAGCAAGTACACTTAATACAGTAACAACTTATTTCCACCCTTCCACATTACCTAGCAGTAACTATTTCAATGATGTGAAGACCAGTGTCCAGTTTTCCTGAGTGTACAATAGATTGTGAAGTAGAATTTAAAAGAAGGGAGGAGGCGGCAGAGGAGGACTTTTGTGCTGTGTAAGGGTAGAATGCTTGCCATTAAAGCATCAGCCGAGCAGATACTGTGAGTACACTCAGGGCTGAATGGTCCCACGTGACACACTCCAGTTTGAAGAAGTTCCATGTTAACGTGAGGGGGTTCCTTACATGACTCTTCTACTCCATTCTAGCAAGTCTGGTTTCCTTTTGTGTATTTTGAAGTCAGATCTCTTTGGACTAAAAACATTGCTGTGAGTAGTTAATTGGAACCAATTCGTTATTAGTACAAAATTTTACAAGGGTAGCTAGTGCTCTTTTGGGTTACTAGTAGACAAATTTATTAAGTTTTGCAAGAGCTGAATGAACCAATAAAATCCTTTGAAAAGTACAAATATCTGACTGGGTAAATGCTATCACGCTAATGGGAAAATGTCAGTGCAGAGGCGAATACTCTGGTGAAGGTGGTGGCGGAGTCCTTGGAAACCCAGAGGGAACACGTGAAATGGTAACCAGGCAGCAAGAGCAGTTGGACGTTTCACTGGTGCCCTACGGAAAGACAGTGAGCAACGGGGGGCTGTGAGTCAGCAACGAAAGCTGGACAGCAGCCTGCACGGTGTCTGTGAAGACATTTTTTCTGTAGCTCAAGAGCGACAGCAGAAGAGCACCTCAGGGCTCCCCGAACTTCTGAGATATCACAGAGCTCCGCCACTGCAAATCTGAGTTTAAAGCGAGGCCCATCTGAAGGAACATCCATCCACAGAACTAACGGGAGTACAGGACTCTGTTGACCTCTTTCTTGGGATTGCCAACCTATTTTCCATAGTAGACTCACCCTTTTACACTCAGTTCTATTCTTTTCCTAAAATGTCATAGCCATCCATCCTACTGGGTAGGAAGTGATACCTCATCTGCGTTTCTCTGATGGCTAAGGGCGCTGGGCGTCTAGTCATGATCTGTGGCCATTTCTATGTCTTCTTTGGAGAAATATGGCTGTGAGTCCTTTGCCAATTTAAATTTTTTGACCTGTTTTTATATACTTTGGGTACTAGATCTTAGTGTGAAATGATTTACACTTTTTTCCCTATTCTGTATTTTGTCTTCACTTTATTTCCTTTGATACATGATGATTTTACTTTTGAGGAAATCCAACTTACGATTTCTTCTTTTGTTGCCTGTGCTTTTGGCTTTATACATGAGAATCCACGGCCACGTCTGCTCGGGAAGGCTGGTGCACCTTCTCCCCAATGCCAGGCACCCTGAAGCTCAGACTCCGTGGGGCGATGTTTCCTTCACAGGAAGAATTCACGGCGCTGGAAAGAGACGGAGACAAGAGCCGCCGGCATTTCCCATGTTTCCGATAACTCAGGGCTTCTGGCCTTGTAACTTTGGGTTCATTCTTACTAGGGATCGGAGCCAGGGTTTCACTGAGCTCTTGCTTGAGGCTGCTGGTGAGGCCTTTGGATGTGTGTGTTAGGGGTGAGCAGACAAGTGGGGTTCCCTCCTTGGGAAGGGTAGTTGGTGCTCATTGTGATTGTTACACAGGAGACAGTGTATGTGGGACGCAGGGCGCCAGGGAGGACAGAATCTTGTCTGTCCTTCTTGCCCGACTGTGGTGCTGAATGGGCACGTGCAGCGGCCCACACGGAAGAGGGGCACCGCTGGGATGCAGACCCCCAGAATGAAGGTCGGGTGGGAGAGACCACCGAGTCCTCAGTGGTGGTCACGCCGTGAGGGGAAATGGCATGGACAGCTGAGGAGAGCCGTGGTGACGGCCTGCTGTGGCTCCAGGTCCCACACCAGCCCTTGCTCCTGAGTCTTCTCCTGACAAAGGGTCTGCGAGGAATGGCTTCCGGGTTGCATAAGGAAAAGCGGGCTGATTTGGCAGAGGGGCAAACAGCAGCAATTACACAGTGTGCTGTCCAGATTCCTGACAGACCCATCACAGGCTGTGCAGCCTCCGACGGCGCCGCCTGCAGGAGCTTCTGACTCCTCCTCTGGACTTGTAGTCCATGAGCGGCGGTGACACTGCCTCTGCCGCAGCTCTGGGACAGGGAGCGCTGGTCCTTGCTGGTGTGGGTCCCCAGCGGGCCGTCAGTGCTGCCGCTCGGTGCTCGCCCAGCCTATGCAGCAGCCACACGCGCAGGGCAGAAAGCTCCTTCCCAGCTCCAACCTCTCGCTACTGCTCCAGTGCGTGAGCTCCCAGGGACACCTCGCACACCCTCTGCTCCTGGGCTGTGTGGTCACCACGGACACTGGGAAGGGAGTGACTTCCCTCCCGTCACACAGCTGTGAAGAGAAATCCTTTGCCTGACTTCATTACTTAGCATCATCCAGCATCTATCCGGGAAGCCATGTCTTCGGGTGTGTTACACTCTCCCAATCCACTCTGAAAGTTTATGAGGTGAGGACAGGAAGTACAGCAGAAGGTCTAAAGTTAAGATTTTATTACAGTAAAGACCATGGCCATTCCTTCCCCTCAAAATGCTACCTCTCGCTTCACACGCTCATCCCCCGTGCTTGCCACTTTCTGAACCCTTTCTGGAAGTCCTGTTGCGTGAGTGTCGTTGGTTGCACTGTCCCGGCTGACTCCAGACCCAAACATTTCCCTTTCATGGTCGTTTTGACTGTGGGGAACGGCTGGAAGTCACAGGGTGTCACATCCCACGGATGAGGTGAATGTGGACACAACATGATGTTTTTGTGACAGGAATTGCTGTAAACAGTTGATCTATGAGGTGGGATCATAAATACTGTGAATTTCTAAATGGAAACATTTATTACAGTAAAAGGCATTGCCATTCACCACCCCCTCGGCATACTTCATTCGAAAATACCTCACCGTTGGCCATGCAAGGTCTTTTACCGTAATATGTTACTGCTTAAATAGTCACCGTATCTTTCAGTCTGCCCTTGTGTGTGCTGTACATACGCTGTGTATAATTACGGGCCTTAAGTGTTCCAGAGGAGAATGCAGGGAGAGGGAGCAGAGAGCGAGTGTGAGATTCAGGGTTGAGCGCGGCTCACAGGTTCACTGCAGTGGTCACAGCCGGGGCACAGGGAGCCGAGGCAGCAAGCCCTGGGGAGGAACGCATCGTCTGACCGTTTCCTAGGGGTGCAGCCTGACAAGCTTAAGTGACGACGTGCTCTTTACAGGACCCGACTTGGAAAGCACCGCCGAGTACACGTCCGCTGAGATGCTCGCCCCTCCCCAGGCTCTGGTCCTCCTTTCCGCGAGCAGATTACACTGCCGGGCGAGCCAGGGGTTCAGTGAGGAAGGTATGAAGGCCGAGTTAAGGAGAGAAGTTTTCTAACATGACCTAGAATTCCGGGTTCTGCAATGCGGGGAGGTGGAAAAGCGTAGTCCGTGTGTAAGGTCCGTCTGAGTCTCAGAGTAGAGAGAGCTCAGAAGTCAGTCCTGTGGATGCTCAGGAAGCCAGGATACTTTGGAAAAAGGCTGACACATGGCAGGTGATGAAGCAGTCTGCAGCCCCTGTCCAGCCTGAAGCGGGCGCCTCAGGGCCTGAGGCGAACAAGAGACACCTTGCCTTTTCCCTGTGGGGTGGGCTTGGCCCAAATTCTTAAGAGCTAAAGTTATGATCCTTGGTTAGGACAGACATATTTCAAGAGATAACCGCTACCCTAAACCACCCACAGGGGTTTGGGTCCCAGCTCCCTCCTTGGGCAGGCAGGTGGCCCGGGTGTTTCTTAAGGTGTGTTTTGGTGTCCTGATCTCTAAGACAAGACAGCCTGTATGTTCTTCTTCAGGTTGTTAGGATGAAAAGTGAGCTAGGAGGTATTTTTCAAATGCTAAGGATACTGCCTGACATGTATGAAATACCATATAACTGCTTTTAAAAATATAATACAGTACAGTTCTCATTTGAACTTCCTTTGTACAATTACTTCCAAAAACTTACCTCATCATCTGCACCAAAGGAAAAGAGAGTTACTGACAGTTCTTGAGAGGCTCTTTTACACAGACATGGTTGAAACAGAATTCTTTTATGAGTCTAGAAGCGCTGTCAATTTTGTATCAAACTGCTAGCTGAATTTCAAAGAGAACAGCATAAAAAATAGATGACCAAAAGGATTATCAAATGAATACTTTATTAGAGTCATAACACTTATAAAATAAATTTCTTTTCATCATGAAGGTACCAGATTTTAAGACCAATACTTTTTCATTTTTACAGCGAAGATATGTAAATAAATTCTTGAATGCCATAATTTTGTTCAAGTGCTTTGTCACTCACAAATCTAGAATGCAATTTGTCTATAAACTTAAGTATTCACAGTTAGGAGAGTTTTAGGTTTGGTTCTTAATCTAAAAGTAGTCCATTTATAAAAGTGCCACCAATACATTTTAATACAAGCATTTAATTTAATGCCACCAAGCATGGCCTAGAACACCTTAGAAAAAATAAAATAAAATCTCACAACTAAGTTCTAGCAGACTACCTTTAAATGATTCCAAGTAGGATGCACAACACAGCTTTATGGCACATTTATGACTTTGTAATATATAATTAATAATACAGGCTTAGGTATACGATATGGAACTAGAAAAATTAAGGAAGTCAGCTTTATAGAACAGATATGACATGATTATAAAGTCATAAGACTGGTTTCATCCCACCACAGATGAAAACACGTCTCCTGCCTTCACGGTTAGTTCTATCACAAACCAAGATCCGACAAGAGTCGTCATTCCGGGGAGTGCGAGGCAAACAGCACAAGACCAGTGGGCACTGACCATGCTGCTGTTTAAGCTGTTCTGTGCTCCACGAAGTCCAACTTGGTGGAGAGTGTGGCTCAGCAGCCCTCTCCTCCGCGGTGGCCCCTTGTGGTGAGAGGTGAGCACCCTGAGTGGAGAGCAAGGGTCACAGCTATGATCTAACCAGAAGCCTTCCTTTCTACCCTTCCTAGAGTCTTTACAGATGGGCAAAACTATTCCTCCATATTCAGAGGCCATTTTTGATGCTATTGTTTTAAAAGTGATTTGCCTATCCCCAACACAAAAAACAAGAGAGATGTCTGGGTGTTTATCAGAACATGTAAGAATGTACGGCTTTATGTTATATTTAATAGTCTATTTAGATTTAACTCAGAAAATAGTGTGAAATAATCAGAACTAAAAAGTTAACTCCTCAGAGAGCTCTGTTTGGAAAAGTGTCACATAAATACTTAGATACTCATGCAGAGGGCAAACAACTTTATTCTAAACATAAATAAACCAAACTAAGACGTAAGTGGCTGGACCCTAGCTGCGGTACTGATTAATGGTCTCAGGAGATTCTGCTTCAGGAATTCTCAGAGGAGAACGCTGCTTACATATTAGAAGACCATTAGTTTGATTAGGCAATGTGGATCCACTTCATAAATTACTTTTTCCTATACCCAAGACTGCCGGAATTAGCTTGAGAAATTATATGCCCTCCCAAGAACATCTGACCATTAGCAAAAGGCAGTGTAATTATTGCATGAGACTAAATTTGTGGCTTGTCTAATTAGGCTTCTAAACTTTCAAGGTCATTCAGTACAACATGGAACACAGAACTAAGGTTTTCCACGGGAGGTTAACACACCCTAGCCTGCAGGCCAAATCCAGTCTGCCTCATGATTGTAAATAAAGCTTTCTGAGAACACAAATGTATCTGCTCATTTATGTGTCACCTACAGCCACGTTTGTGCGGCTGCAGCTTTAGCAGCAGTGAAGTGTTGGGACAGTCAGGTGTGGTCCGTGAATCCTAATGTGCCCCACCTGGCACTGTAGCAGAAAAAGTTCTCCCATTCCTACTTTACATTAAAAGATGGAATTCGGTGAAGTGTGCAGTTTTTAGGGAATTAGTTTCCTATTAAGGTTCCAGTGACTTTGTGACCACATAAAGGAACAGTACGTTTTCATGAACAGTATCTGTGTATTTTATGGACATAATGAAAGATTTTCTCAAAAAAAAGGAAAGATAAGAAAAAAATGAAAAGATACTTCTCTAACATAGCAAAAAAGTTAAAATTCCACTCATGAAATAAACAAAAACTTGTACTTGGGTTTTTCTCTCCATACTAAACAGATTTCTTTGGGAATGTTGTATGTCTGCACAGAGTGCTATCCAGGGTGACTGACACAGCAAAGAGACAAAGGGAACGAACACAGCCTCGTTAACCCCCAGGAGTGTTACGGCCGCCATCTCCGTAAGGCCAGGCCCAAACTGCAACCATAACAAGCTGTCGTCATAAAGGCAAAAACCTAAGAGACAAGAAACAAGAATCGACATCAGATTCATGACACTAACTCTAAGAAAACACATTTCCAAGTGACAGCTGTATGAACACTGATTCAAGATACTGTAACACAGAAGTATTTTATATTGATCTCTTTTTTTGGATGATTTATACTGTGTTTTAAACCTTTTCACCATCATCTCTCCCTTTAAATATTCTAGGCCCTAAAAGGGTTCTACCTCTCCCGCTGTCTCCCTCAGTGCCAGGGCTCAAATCCTGAGCCTATGATGCTAAGCCAGTGCTCTACGCTGAATCACACCCCGAGTCTTGGTGCAGGGATTCTTAACCAGGCAACTACAGCTTGGGAAAGAAATCAGATTCACTTAGAGAACATGTCCACAGTTTAGTTACCAGTCTATTATTCACCCTAACCTCCTCCCAGTTTTCTGATACATTTCTAATCTTTTCTGATATATTTCTAATTTAGAGGTTGTCCTCGTAATATGATTGCTTGTGATACCTATTACTAGTGAAATGGAATCCTCCTCTTTCTCAGGTATACTGGAAGAAAAAAGTGAAGGGATCAGTGTCGTGCCATCAGTGGATGGCTGGTATAATTTAGAGCTCTGAAAACTCAGAAACTAGAGCTCTGTGCAGATGGGTCTGTGGCCGACCTGCACGTGAAGCAGAAGGTGAAGCACGGAGAACTTTACCAGGTGGAGTGAAAGGGAAGACAGTGGGGATGAGGTCACGGAAGAGGCACAGCCAGAACAGAACTGCACCAGGGAGAACCCGAAAACTGGGGGCTCTTTGGGACAGGGGATGCTGGGGGAGGTAAAGACAGCAGTGGGTCTTCATGTCCTTGGGCAGTCGCCATTCCTGTGGAAGGAGGGACTCAGGGTGGGGCTGCTTCAGAGATCTGTGAAAAAGAGGGGCTGAAAGAGGGAGGCGATGTCTAACATGGAGGAAAAAATTCAACTCCAAGTCCCTGTACTTTGCTTTGTTTGTTTTGGTACTGGGGATCCAACTCAGGACCTTGCTCTGTAAAACTTAAAACCAGTGGTTTTCTGATTGTGATCTTTGGCTCCCAAGGACTCCAAGAATTAAATTCCACTCTCAGGGATGATGAGGGCCACGAGGCAGCTTTGTGACAGCAGAGGACACATGACATCAAAGCCCATCTCCTCTGCCTTCAGCCAGTGAACACATGCTTCCATCTTCTACATTTGGGTTTAAGTAAGATTTCATTAAGAAATATAGTTTCATTTTTTTAATGAAAGAAAGTGGTAAAACCAACACCCTAAACTATACATCTTTCAACACACAGTGAAACAGCAGAGCTTCCCTCATACTGGCTGATTTCAACTGCTGTACCAGGTGGCCAGGGGCACGGCACATGCCCAGATGCTGCCATTGCTGCAGGATGTCACTGGGCCAGGACAGCTCCCACAGATTTGGGTGACGACATGACACAGAGAGTTCAGGGCTATTTATGGGCTGCTCGGGCAACACAGAGAGATATCAGAGTCAGCACCTTGCTACACAGCCTATTAAATATCAAGTCATTTTGACCTGTGACAGTTCTGTAAAAACACCACACGCACGTGTGTGTGACTCTTAGCAAATTACCCAAGTCAACACTGAATGCTGGGTTCATTCTAGTACATGAATTAAAGGGTACACATTTTTGAAGGCTCCTCGTGGAATGTGAACGCAGTCACCTGCACAGCTCCGAGGCAACGGATGAAGATCTGCCTGCGGGCTCACCTGTACCTAACTCAGTGGCAGAGCTGAGCTTCCTCCTGTTGCAGTGTAGATCCAAAATGTCCTTCAAAAGCCCCCTGTGTGGGAGGTTATGGGGTCCCGGTGGTGCTGGGGCTGACTGCTGTCGGGATGTGGGGCTGGGGGAGGTGGTCACTGGAGCGTGGCCTGGAAGGATGCGTTCTTGTCCCTGGCTCTCTCCTCTCTCCTCTCCTCCCTCCCTTCCTCTCTGTCCTTCCTGGCTGCCATGGGTCAAACATGGCTTTTCTCTATCCACCAGGTCCTTCTTTTTGCCGTACCCTTTCCTGCCTTGGAGCCAGCTGATGATGGACCAAATCCTCTAAAAACCACGAGCCCAGGTAAACCTCCCCTCCTTTTAAGTTGTGATATTGGGTAATCTGTCCCAGGAACTAGAAAGTGACTGAGACTCATCTGAATGCCGCAAATTACCTGCCAAGAGGCATGCATGGGGTGAATATTCATTCAGTTAAAAGGAATAAAATATAGGTATAGAAAAATACTAAAGAGCAAAGCTGGGAACAAATCTCTTACTCTGTATGAACATTCAAAGAAGCCAATGGCCCAATTAATGCTTTCTCCAAAGTAGACTTTGTCGTACAAGGTCAAGCCACACTATGGACACATTGTCATTGTGGGGGTGTCAGTCTGGTCTCCCCAGCACTGTGGCGGTGACGGGGCTTTGCTTTTTGGGGCCTGCCCAGGTGGACAGCTGTGGCAAGTTCAGGGCTAACGGCTGTCACCAAAGAGATGCTGGAAACTTCCGGGACACCCTAGGCAGGGAGGGGCGGAGCTGGGGACACTCTCTCCGGCACTTACGGTGGCCGCTACATTTATTCGGTACTGGTTGTCACTCAGGAGTGGCTGCACTGACAGGGTGATGTTGCACTGCAGGTCGTTCAGGGAGGTGGCTGCCGCTTGCAGGAGAAAGGCTCCAAAGTAGAAGACAAACACCACGAAGTGGTAGGCGAAATCCTGACAGGAGAGAGAAGACTCTACAGTTCCATGGTAAGTTTTTTTTTTTTTTTCCTTTCCTGTTCGTTATTTTTAATGACAAGTTAAGTTCAGGATGATTGGAACATGTAATCCACCAATCTCAAGTCTGTCCTCTGTTTATTTTGGCTGTGTTAGCAATGTCGGGCTGCTAGAATCCAACCAAAAAAATCAGTGGGCCCATTCTATTCGGTACAAGGGAAAACTTCTGATGTACTGAATTTTAGAATAAAACGCATGGGTTCAGTGTTTGAATGAAGGTGTATAGAGATCAGTATTAGTGAATGGATAATAAAGGAATAACATGCCGTTTTTAAAATTCAAGTAAAATAGCATTTAAATTACATCCTGCTTTACAGCTGTCTATATTTTCTAAATTTTTACTTTTGAGCAATTACATTTATCATTATGTCATCCTATATGCTGAAACACAAAATAGCCTCATTAAATCATAGAATTCAAAGACATGTATCTCTGCATTTCACTAAAAATAATATATATTCCACAAAAAGTACAGAAACGGTGATTAGGTTATTTTGAACATTGCTGGAATTAATATGAAACCTAACTATTAAGTCACTGCCTTACCTGGATTAATATACCATTCACTGCTATTTTTAACAGCTCCCACAGACCTTGTGTTTCAGGTACATTTCTGTTTATCCTTAGAACCACGATATCGCACCTCCATTTTAGAATTTCCTTTCTTTTCGGTTAAATGTCCCCAAATCCCATGAAGATTCACTTTTGGAGGGGCAGTTCAATCACATGCCTACCAGTTCCAAAGTCTGTCTCTCTCTCTGTCTATCTATATCTATATCTATATATACGTATGTATATGTGTATGTGTATGTGCATATATATATAATTATTTTTTTTTCTATATATTTATTTTTTTTTTGTTTTGTTTTGTTTTGTTTTGTTTTGTTTTGTTTTTTTTTGTACTGGGGATTGAACTCAGGCCCTTGCACTACTGAGCCAAATCCCTGGTCCCAAAGTCTACATTCTGTTCTAAAAAACTCATTGACAAGTAGAAATGGCACGTGTTGTATATTCCGAAACATGTGTGGATCAGCTAATGTGAAGTACTTAACGTGGGCAGTGCCCCACAAACTTACCGTGTGTGCGTGTGTGTGTGTGTGTGTGTGTGTGCGTGTGCACGTGCGTGTGTGTGGCGTTTAGCAATTTTCACAGATACACTGAAAACAGCTGTGGTTGCAGGCTACAGCAGATCTCTGGAACTGACACTTCCCGTGGAACTAAGATCTTGTATTATTTGACCCTCACGTTCCCAACCTCTCCTCCTGTCCTCCTCCACGTCCCCTGTAACTACCCGCTTCTCTCAGTTTGGCTGTTCAGCGTTCCCAGTCAGTCAGGTCATGTGGTGCTGTCAGGGGGCCTGGGTTCTTTCCCTTAACATCTTGCCATACCCACCCATGCTTTTGCACATAAAAGCATTTCTTTCATTTGAAAGGCTGCCTAGCATTCTACGGTATATACAATTTTACATTTGTTTCAGTATATTTCAGTTCATCCATGGGTGGTACCAGGTGGATTCCGAGTGTTGGCTGTGGTCAGTCTCGCTGCAGGGAACCTGAGGAGGCAGGCCACGCTCGGGCATGGGTTTCATCTTCCTCAGATCCATGCTTAGCGGTGGGACTGCTGGATCATGTGGTGGTTCAATTTTTAAGTTTTTGAGAAACCTCCATACTGTTTCCCATAATAACTATATTAATCTGCATTCCCACCAAATGTTTGAGGGTTTCTATGAAAATCCACTCTCTTTCCTTTCCACCAAACTGTCGCTATCCACCTAATACTACAAAAGAGAATACTGCACTGTAGCCAGCAACGCTGTCCACAGGACACCAGGCCAGACTGAACTGACCAGGGGTTAGAGTTACACAGGGTAACACGGAAAATGCTTTCCCTTAAACACCTCTCATTTGTGAAGGGGCCTGACGGTGGCATCCAAAGATTAAAACAAACAATCAAAGGGCCACATGCCTAAACTCTAAGAGGTATGCTCAAATACACATGGTAATTCAGCTGTATTAATCGATGAAGGTCAATATCCAAATGTAACACACTCAGGACAGGGGTGTAATTTGTGTGTTGTGCTGCCCGTGGCTCTGAATCATGGGGTACATACGAACTACCCAAGGGGACAGTTGAGGGTGGATCACTGGTGGGAACAAGTTCAGTGCCACTGCTGTTTTTAGGGATGAAATGCAATAGAGCGGGGTATTAATTAGTAACCCTGAGAAGATACGTTTGAGATCGTTAGGCCCTCATTTTAAGCCAGGAGCCTCGTTTCAGAGTCCTCAGAAACGGTGTGGGTTTTTCAAAGGAGCAGTTTGGTGACAGGACTGCGGGTCGTGGAGTGATTGGTTCCTCTACTGTCTCACTATTGTCTCGTGCTCTCTGGACTTCAGCCACCCTGGCCCCAGTTTGATTCTCCGGAAGCTGTCTGTACCCCAGGCTCCAGTGGGCTGGGGGTGTGCTGCAGGCTTTAGCCAAGGCTACATCTTCCTGGGGAGCCCCAGGTAACTGCAGGAGGCTGAGGGTGCTCCTGCCTGGGCCTCCTGCCCAGCACACGTCCTGAAGGTCAGGTGACTCTGGAGCATCCCCCTGATTCGGCCAGGGCCTCCAATCATGGTCAGATTTCTGCCTTGTCTTCCTTCCATCCACATTATCTTTCACAGGTGTTGCCTTCTCCCCTCCGATAAAAAGGCGACAAATTCAAACTTGTAGACAAATCCAACTTGAGATCCATTTCAGAGGCTGCTTCCAGGTGGGCTGAGAAGGTGCCCTGAGAAGGCCCAGGCGCTCTGCTGCGGTGCTGCCCCTTCTCCATCCTCACATCTGTGTAGAGGACGCATTCATTCGCAGCAATTCCTTCACCGGGCATTCGGGTGGTGTCCCCAAGCTTGGGAAATGCAGCTACACCCATGCTGATGCCCAGCCGCCCTGGACGTCCTACTCCAGCTCCTGTGTGTGATGTGGGCAAGGCCTTCCTGGGGCCCTCACTGTCCGCTCAGCCTCCATCGCCCATGCTAAGCTGGAAACTTGATATCAGCTCGTCAGCGCCACATGGAGAGCTCCTTCCAACACAGGTGGCCCCCCAGCACCCGGAGCCTGAGGACCGCATTTCTAACACGTCTCCAGCAGCTGCTGACGCTGTGGTCAGGGGCCGCCGTCCCTGGCACCTGCTCACCAGGCAACAACCCAGCCCCTTTCCAAATCGCCTTTACCCGCCTTCCCTGCTCAGACACCCCAGGCACCCCCCCATCTTTCCGCCTTTCCCGCAGGCGACCCCAGCCTGTCACACAGCTTGGGTATTCAAGCAACAGGGACCACCACCCACAGCCCATCCCGGCCGGCCCTGCCTTCCTCTTCTGCTCCCATCAAGCTTTCCCCGAGCAGAGGATGCTCCGCAGGGGACCCTGGCCATACAGCAGCAGCCTGCAAAGGGCCGCGGCCGCCCTGAGCCCAGTTCTCTCACATGGCGAGGACAAGACGCTTTCAGCAGTGAACAACGGCCCAGAGGCCCAGCGAGGGAGCACAGCGTCTGACCTGCTAAGGACCGTGAGAGGACGATGACCAACACGTGCCAGGCAGACTTCTGAGGAATGAGGGGAAACTCGGCCAGGTGGACAGGATTTTAAAAACAGACATCGTAAGTATACATACCAGTTTCCCAAGAGGAAGGAGGAAATCATTATGTATCACAAACGTACACTAACAAAATAGTCCGTACTTTTCTGGCATGTATCTTTCCTCAGCAATCTTCTCTGGAAAAGGGGTAATGGAAGTATGGGCTGTCTTCTTCTAAGGAGGCCAATGATGTTTATTTCCTCTGCACACACAGTGCAAGACTGAAATCTCCTTTTCTCCAGACTAGAATAGGGCAAGGTTTTAGCATGTAATATACATTACTACATACTGTATTTTTCTTGATAGCTTGTGGAGAAATAGTGAATGCACATACTACTATGAATGTAAATTTAACTGCATGACTAACAAAAAGATGAAAATTATCATTAATATCCTACACCAAATATTTGTATAAAGCGAACTATCCAGATGCATTCTTGCTTCCCTCGCGCATGGAACACAAGTGGCATTAATTATCATTAAAGGGGAAACCAACTCATTTAAAGAAATTACTGCTTACTAGTTCCAGAATATACGAATTAAAACTTGTTACCAGGTGGAGATGCGTCCACAAGAAGCATGGCTCTCAGAACTTCCTGGCTAAGACTGTACGAGAAATATCACAAAACCTATCCAAATCTAGTCCTGGGCTCAAACACAAATGAATATGAAGAAAGACACATAAAAAGAGAGGGGAGAAAGGGAGCCCTCTCTACACAGGGACTGCATTTGATAAACTCCATGAAGGCAGGAATTGTCTCCTTGCAAGCATGCCCACAAGTCCTGAGCTCTGTGCTCTGACATCCCACAGCATGCGGCATGCATGGCTGCTACAGGGAGGGCAGCCTTGATTCGGAAATCGAACATCTGAAATGCCCCGAAGTCCAAAACTTCTTGACAGTAAAGTCTGCGCAAATATTCCAAAATCTGAAATACCTCTGGTCTTAAGCATGTTCTGTACCATTTTTATCCTTAGTGTGGACTCTGTGAGCAGCAAATAACAAAACAAAGCAAAACAAAAACAACAACAACAACAACAACAACAAGAACAAACACAGGAAAAGACAGCCAGAGGCAGGTCTCTCCAATTTCAACTGCCACATAGAGGCGTGAGTAAAACAACAAAAAATCTTACGTTTTGTTTTCCAAATATCAGATACAATGCTATGAATGGCTGGGAAATGCAAATTTAGGAAAAGCAATAAGTGACTAAGGACATTAATGATTGTAAATCAGTATCAAAGATAAGACCCAATATAAGCAAAAGGGGAAAATGTTGATATAGGAATATATCTACAAGGACCAGCAATGATATCTGAAAGATATTTACACATTAGTAAGGCAGGTACAGCAGACCAACTAGAAAGAATCCCAGGCACTGCTGAGTCCTGGATTCTGTGTGTGTCCAGGTCTTAGCCCTCTCGGTGTTGGACTACTGGGACGTCCAGGAAAGTTCAGTGGAAGGGCCGGGCTGGCTGCAGCACAATACCTGGGAGAGACCGGAAGTTGGGCCAATGGCTACGGAGAGTTCCAAGGTACACACAGGGCTGTGGCGGTACAAATGGGCCCACTACCATCTCTGGGCCTGACACTGAAAGAATCTGGTTTTGCTTGTCAACTTTAGGGCTCAACTCTTTATTCTCACACTTTATCATGGAAGAGTCAGGCACTTAGAAAGAAGAGATTAAACATCTGCATGGGATCCAGTTAGGGACCTTGGACCTTCATCACATGACCAAGGAATATTTGCATCATGAATGAGAAATTAGGCAAAAATGTAGCAGCGCAATATTTAAGCAACCTGACAGAAACAGAAGGGCTTTCAGAGTCCCAAACTGAACGCCTCAGTGTGTTTAAGGATTTAGACCTATAATGGTTTCCTTGCTGTTTCTTAGGCACAAAGCTAAATTAATTCATCACTCCCAATATTCTTTAATGGTATTTGGTAAGATGGTCTTATGATTACCATTTTATAAACAGTTAAAATTCCAAAAAGTTAACTTTTTCCCAAGTCTGTACAGCTATTAAGCTGAGCTGACCAAACCCCAGGCCAATGAAAGGCTGTAACCACTGTAGTGCTTCTTAGATTTATGCTAAGCAGTGCCATTTGACCTGGGTTGGCTTAAAGGGCAATCAGGTTTGCTCGATGTCACTGTGGAATACATCTGGGATTAAAGTTTCCTAAAAATAAAACAAGAACAGATACTTTCCTCTGTCACCTATTCTATAGCAGCTGAACAAAATGCTTCTCTATTCAGAGAAATGTGTCTACGCCTGACTGAGGTCTGCTTTAGGTTTCAAAACACCAGCGTGTGATCAGAACCTAAGAGAGCTTTTTGGGAACTTCACCAAGGCGCCGTCCTCTATGGTGTGGAATTCACACTCCATTGAGCCTTTCGGAACCAGTCCCTGAGGACCAGTGGTACAAGTAGGAGAGGCCCCGCACACTTCATGGGAAAGCAGGGAGTAAGGTGACCCAATTTCAGAGTATCCGATGTTAAAAATTGTATTAATTGTAAATTTATTTTTCAAAACTCACCAATTCTTACTAATTCAGGACAGGAATTAGCTATAAAACATTCTCTTAAGAGTTGAGAGAGCAAAATATCTAGGTAATTGTCTTCTGAAAAGGATGCACAGTCTGTTTCCCAGGATGTCCGTCTATGGACTCAATCAATCATGCATTGAAAAATTGTGCTCTCTAATGAACTTATACAGATTATGTGTGTCTTTATTTCCTACATATACAGTATAAAAACTGCATTGCATCTACATCGACTAGGTGCCATAAGTAACCTACAGATGACTTAAAGCGGATAGTGCATGCGGGTCTGTTAAATGCAAATACTATACTATTTTACAGAAGGGACCGACAACTGACAGACACAGGTTTGCCAGCCTGGGGCATCCCAGAACCAGTGCCCTGTAGATACCAAGGGCTGACTCTAGACTTCAATCTCTGCAGCAGAGATCAATGGCAATTTTCAAGACTCATGTGACACCATTCACCTCCCGAAGGGGTTATCTTGGTTCAGCAATTATAATGCAACGTGTTTGTCTTATGAAATGAAACAGCTTCTGAATAAAAGTCATCTGAGTCCTAAGGGAGCCACTCAGTGATTTCTCAGCTCCATCAGCGAAGGAATTTCACAAATGGGGGCTCTGCTGTCCAGCAGGGTGAGCCCACAGAACAGCCCGCTGATTTCGCCCATGGGAAGCAAAAAAACTGAGCAGGGACTTGAGCATCTCTGAGCAGGAGGAGGTTTCTTACATTTTCTTGCAAAAGACAAAACAGAATGTCTTACCAGGAAGTTCCAGTTGGCATTAATTTGAGTCACCATGCCAGAGAGGAAGAGGCCCAGGAAGAGGAGGGAAAAGAAGAAGGCGGTCACGGACACGAACATGACCCATCCTTGTAGCAGAGGGAGGGGGACATTGGAGGAAGCGACCAGAATCCAGACGAGGCCCCCTAGCACCTGGAAACAAAAGAGGAGCACAGGTTTGCTCAAAAGGTACTGCTGCTCAGTGACCCCGAACGCACTCGCATGAACCTCCCTACCCTCCTTCCTCCCCGCAGACCCTGCACTCCCCCATCCCGCCTTCGTTTCTTTTCCATTGTTCAAGATGCAGCAGGCCTGCGTGGAGGGGATCCGACTCCACCCTCCACCCGAGAGAGAACGTGCCCAGCGGCCTCAGCCTCGGACCCCACTGCCTGCCAGGGTGCCCCGCCACCGCCGATGTGTTTTCCGGCCCGGTCATCATGGTTACCAGCTGCTGGGCTGCCACTTCCTCTCCTTTAAGTCACTCTTTAAACCACTGTCAACCGATTCTGCGCTTGAGTTCATCAGGGCGGGCGGAGCAGCTGTGGCTCTGGAGCCATCTCACCCCGTGCTCGCTTCTGTGTCTGCTTCCCAACCCATGTGTACGTGACATTCTTGCCTGTTTACACAGCAAGGGCTGCAGCTGTTGCTCCGGACGGGAAGCAGGGAAGGCCACCATCGCCTGTGCTGGACGCTGGGATATGCACCGGGATGGCTCTGGGAGTCAGTAAGTACCAGCGACAAGTCGGGCACCATGCGAGGTGCGGGGCAAATGTGAGCAAGCTGCTCTGGGTCTCGGGACCCACAGAGCTCAGCCCACTGCAGGAAAAGGGCGACCCAGCAAGTGGTTAAAATGTGGCTTCCTCAACCGCACAGCTGGTCTGGTACCGCGAGCATGGGCTCTAGATCCCGACGAGAGGCCGGGGGGCTTGGAGAAGCAGCAATCCCAGGGACGGGGGGCGGGCAGAAGTGCTCTGGGCAGGGCATCGGGCTCGTGGCGACGGAGTGCGTTCAAGACAGGCATTGAAGTTTCTGTGGCCAGAGTGTGAGGGTGGGCGCAGAGGTCAGGTGCAGACCTGGGGACACCAGGTGACCAGCGTGACAGCAGAGGGTAAGGCAGAAGGCAGGATCCAGGCCTTGAGGGCAGAAGCAACGGGACATCAGTGACTGCTGGATGTGGGACAGGGCAGGGAGAAGTGTGAAGGAGGGGAAATACCTAGCCTTTGGGACCCGGCCTGTCACTCGGCCTGCACACTTTGTGATACAGGCAAGAGACTCCACAGCTCAGGGACAGAGGGGTTCACATCGGAGGGGCCGGCAAGCAGGCTCTCTCCCTGCGCGAATTTCAGAAACTCCCACGTGGAGTCCATGTTGAGTGCGCGATCGAGAACTTCTTTCTTGAGTTCCAGCTCATGCTTGACGACCCCTCAGTCCTCGGGACACCCTGCCCCCTCAGGATCTGTTAACACCGAGGACAGGAGAAGACGGACACACCGTCCCTGACCCCCGAAGTTCCCTATCATGTGTTGATCTACAGAATAACTAACCAACCTACACCATAACCATTTCCCAACTCTTAGCCAGGTACTGGGTAGGTTTGGCAACACAAACAGCTTATACATCTGCCCCGAGGTATTTCAATCTCTCTCATGAACACACACAACATGTCCTCAAATATTTACTTAGTGAATGCACTAATGTTCAGGTGAGAACAGTATGAGCTCCAGATAATAAAGACCAGACACCAACAACCACACTATCTTGCTTCTTAAGTATCTAAATCATATCCCAAATCCAAATTGTACAAGTCGCTGAAAGTTAGAAACATAACTTTTTTTTTTTTTTTTTTTTT